ATCATCCATCGCCCAAGCTCCACAGCCAAGCTCCATCTGCTCGCCTTCTCGCAGGCTGTCAGCGAGGCGGTAAGGCACTGGACCGAGGTGCCTGGGGCGGCCGTGATTGCCAGAGCCTACGTGGAATTTGACCACCGGATTTCAAAGGGGATTTGGCCACAAAAAGTGGTGAATCTATTATTTATATAACCAGCACCAAACAAATCAGATTTATGTAAATATGAAGTCTTCAAGACTTGATGATTCAACCAAACATGTGAATTCAGCTAAAAAAAAAAGCAAAACATGTGGATTTGAGCAACTAGGACATTGAAAACAACGATTCCAGTAGGACCTACTTCCCAGCCTGGTGCTTGGGACATCTTCCAACCTGAAAATTCAAGAGCCCCCAGCCTGGTTGTTGGCTCAGCCGTAAGGACCAAGTCCATTCACCACGCTGTCCGCACGCAACCGCTGCAGATGTCCGGCCTCGCGGTGCTTGGCTGCGCCCCAGTGTCCAGAGAGCCAGGGTCCACTGGTTGCTACGTTCACAGGCGGACACGGCAGAACTGATGGCGACGGAATCCAAACGCAAACCCTGAAGTGGCTTCAACACCCCAGAAAATCTGGGAGCACGAACATCTGGGATCAGCATTCTGAAAACATCTGAATATGGTTGAAAAACGTTGAGAAAATGTTCAGACCATGTTTTTCACCATCAGTCAGCCTCGGCGAGTTGGTAGAAGAGCAACAAAGCATGTTGCCAGAGTTTGAATCGTCCATATGCTGCGATCCCAGCAGTGGGAATCACCAAATTCACATGCTTCACCTCATTCAGAAGCTCAGCAATGGACTGCCATGGAGTTTTGGAAGATTTCAGCCTTTCAAAGATCTTGCTGGTTGGTCTCGCCACATCCATGCGTCATCCACCCGGCGACGTGCGCCACACCGCCGGTTTGGATGCCCCTGGAGTAATCTTTTCTGATACCTTCGAGCCATTTTGCCTGCGAATGGCTCGTGCAAGACGTGGGAATGTCACTGTGGCCCTTGAAACAGGCTGGTACTGATTTCATTACAAGACCTTCCGATCCTTCCAGTTCTTTGGTTGATCATCAACTCTTCCATACTCTAACGCTGCAAACCAGATTGAAATTCATAATTTAATAAACTCACAAAGTCTGCCGTTGCACCGTTGCACCCTGTACATCTCTGTACCAAAGGTGTCCACAACAAATCTCTTCCAAATCTACCACTCAACCCTTAATCCAGTTACAAACCCACTTAACCACCCCAGCAGGGTTCCCATTCCCAGCCCCAACAAATCTCTCGGACTCGGGTCCCGTTCCTCAACACCGCTCGCAACACCGAGAGCATCGGGGGTGCTGCGTCCTGATGCTGCGGCGATGCTGCTGGGTATGGACCAACAAAGCAGTAGGATGGGCACAACCAAATGCTATTATTCTGATATACCTATAATTAATATCAATGGGTATAATAATAGTTTTGCTTCTCTAACATGGTCTAACAATCGGAAAAAATCCGCAACACTTTGGTAGAACCCTGTCAACAAGACCAACCACCATGGCATGGTATACCCTCTGGTTCAACATGGCAATGGAAAATGCACCTCTGGTAGGTCGATGATGTTCCAAAATTTTCCCACCAGGCCATTTTTATAACAGAGGAAGAGTTTCTCCTCACAAAATATACTACCATCCCCCAGTCATCACCATTTTTAAAGGTGGTATGTTTACCATTCCCAGTCATGGGTGGTAAACATGGCATTGTTTTAACCACATTATAAAACAATGCCATAAACCACCCATTTGGATTTCTTCAAATTGCAAGCCCTGTAACAGATTTCTTCATCCAACTAGATGATCTGGTGATTCGTTCGTGCCTTGGTGATTTTTTTGCCGTTTTCCGAGATGGTTCCCATGAAAAACATCGAAAACATCCCTTTCGAAAATCCTGCATTTCTCTCATTCCGAACATGGCAACACTTAAAAAATCCGAGTATCACATTGTATGTCCCACCAAAAAGATGTTTATCCCAGTAACCATTCCTATGAGTGTTACCCTCCGGTAATCAAACATGGCTTGCCAAAATGGCTCCCTAGAAACCTCCATGTCTCCAAAATGTCCAGCGCAAGCCATGACGACTATGACGACTACCCGACTAACTCATCTGAGCCTTGGGTGCTTGGGGCTGCAGTTAAGGTTACAAATAACAAACTAACTATGGTTATAAAATGTTGTAAACATGTTGTAAACACCTATAAGCTGGTTATAAACATCCACTTAAAACTCCAGGATATGAACACTGAAAAAAATGGAGAAGTGTTGAACTTGCACCTGGTTTTATATATAACTATCTATAAACCTTTAAACTATGGTTATATCATAGTTATGTCATAGTTATATCATAGGTAATAAGCCATAGTATATCATATAAACTCTGGTTTATCATATTAAACTCTGGTTTTCTCACCCATAACACATCTTAAACTATGCTACAAACTATGGTTATACATCAGTTTACATGATACACAATGGATTATCAACACCTATATATATATATATGTATATATATATATATGTGTGTGTGTTGCTTATATGTCCCAATTATATCCACCGTCAAATGTCATAAACACCTATAAGTTAGGTTATACCCCAGTACCACCTGTAGCTCTGCCCGCTTCGCCACCTCCATGGCATCGCCCTGCAACACTGCCGCGATGCGTCCGAAGTCCAGGGCCGGTGGCACCGGAAGCAGCGCCGTGGCCTTTGCCGAGGGAGCTCGATGGGTTTGATGGGATTTTGAGGGGATTTTAATGGGATTTTAATGGGATGTTAATGGGATTTTAAGGGGATTTTAAGGGGATTTTAGGGGGATTTTAAGGGGATTTCAGGATTTTATGGAACTTTGATGGGATTTCAATGGGATTTTTATAAAACAATAAGGGGTTTTAATGGGATTCAATAGGGTTTAATGGAGGTTGTATTAGATTTCATGGTTCTCCCACAGTTGGTTTACCTTGTTTCATGATAGATCCCTCCACTGAGCTGGCCCTACGGTGCGCGAGCGTGATTCGATGCTGCGCGCGGAATGCAAACGTCTCACCTTGGAAACCGGGCGGCCTAGGTGGCGAGTTGGGATATGGCCATGAGTCAAAACCCTGGTGCCCGAATGGTACCCTTAAATAGCTGGTTTATGGATTTTCATTACCCAAATATGGTAATATATAGGTTTTGACCCATTTCCATATGAAACCATGAAACCATAAGACTATATGCAAAATGAAGGATATCAAAACATAAGTTGTTGAAATTGTGAAAACCTTTACATTTGAATTTGATCCTTGGGAATCATGATCCTAAGTGAGGGGAGGGGAACAATCAAACATAATATTGGAAGCTGAAAGTGCTGAGTGAAATAAATGGACAAAGCAATTCCAGGACACGACTACTTATTTCACTGGAATACTATAGAACTTAAAGAAAGTCACTATAACTATCTTCAATATCACATGTATATTTCAGTAGTATGGAATACCACATCCATTCGTTGATACCTTATAGCCATCCCCCCAAAATAGACAAGTGTTTCCAGGATCTTATAGAGCTTTACCCATCCAAGGCACTGCGCCCGCGGAGTTGGAGGCATTCAAACTTGATGCTGAACTCCCTCGCAGCGCCTCCCAAGGTCAAGCGGCAAAGGACGAAGGGCCACTGCCAGTTGTTCAACTCAAAAATTGAGGATTCTCAAACCAACCATTTGTGGTGAATCCTGTTTTTTTTGATGGTTTATCGCAAAACGCCGTGAACTGCTGCGGCTTTCTTGGCTTCTGAAAAACATGTGGCTTGATATGTCTGTGTTTCTTTTCTTCAATAACGCCCCAAAAAGCAAACAAAAACATTACAATTTCTGGGCTACGAAAACCAAGCGTATTCAATTTTGAGGGTTGCTATGTTTCACCTGTCTCATCTGCCATCTCGCCTCTCTGGGCCAAAGGCGATCCTGGCGTTTAAGAACAGGTTTAGGATAAATGATATATGATATATGATGATATGTGATGCTGATTAATGATGATACGTGATGATATAGGCTACAGGATTATAAATGATTGAATCACTCAGTGTTGAACCCTGGAATTTTGTGATCTCACCATCATCCTGCTATTCCCATAGTCCCATAGCTATATCGACCCATCTCCAGCCTGACCTGCGTCTGGATCAAATAAGGCCATCGATAGTTGAAATGGCGCGAGTGGAAAATCTCCGGCTTTCAGGAGGTGAATTCGCAAAATTCGATGTCCTCATTCTCATGGGAAAAATAGATCCTGCTTTGGTAGAACATTGCCCATCATTTATGCAGAATGATTGAAACAAAACTGGTGCCAATTTAGTTACTGCCCTGCTATTTCCGGTTATGAAACCAGGCTAAACAACAAAAACTTTCGGATATGCATTTTGCCACCAAAAAAACATGGTTTTGAGTTAGATATCCATTTCGTCGCCAAAAATCATATGCTCCAACGGTATACCCTCCTATACTGCCCCTCTTTCCCACCTGCAGCAATGGAACGGGAGTAGAAACACCCTGGCCACGTTCGGATCGGGGGAACCTGACTCCACCGAAGCACAGCAAGCAGCCTCTAGGATAGGTAACATCAAGGAAACCAACATATCACACCTTTTCACAGGTAAATCATTACACATCATCAATTTTTCCATAACATGTCTCAGATTAACCAGAGGGTAAATCATCCCCATCAGTCACTTCTTGTCAGATTACCAATTTGGATGTGCTTAAGGAACCACAAACAAAAATAAATCACATATTCTCTATAGATTCCCCAAATAGTGGATGTCCCATTGGGAAAACACCCAAATCATCTTCAGCGTGCCATGCAATGCCAAAGTAATCATCCAACTTTAGGGGGTCTGGATGCAACATGATGCACCCCATTCCCAACCCATTCCCATGCTGCATCTTCCACTTTTGTCAAAGAAAATCATCATGTGCGACGTCTCTTGGCTGGAAAACTCGCATCACATCCGTCATTTTGTGACGCATCAACACCTCCAAAAGATTTTGGAAGCTGCAGATTTGTCAAAGAAATGCAACCATCAAAGGCACACGGCCCGATTTTCCTCACTGTCTCAGGGATGGTCAAGCTTGTCAAAGAACTGCAGCCATCAAAAGCACCGTCTCCGATTTCTGTCACTGAGTTGGGGATGTCCAACCTTGTCAAAGAGCTGCAGCCAGCAAAGGCATAGTTTCCAATAGACAGCAGGCCCGGAAGGAATGTCAACTTCCTCAAAGAGCTGCAGACGTCAAAGGCGCTATCCTTTATGCATGTCACAGACTCTGGGATGGTCAAACTTGTCAAAGAGCTGCAGCCAACAAAGGTGCCTTGCCCAATTTGGGTCACAGATGCAGGTATGCTTAGGGTCATCAGGGAGCCGCAACCATCAAAGGTTCCATCCCGAATTTCAGTCACATTGTTTGGGATGTCCAAACTGGACAAAGAGCGGCAACCTGCAAAGGCATTACGCCCAATGCTCATCACAGACTCCGGGATGTTCAGACTCCTCAAAGAGCTGCAACCCGCAAATGCGGACTCCCCGATTTCTGTCACTGAGGGGGGATGGCAAGTTTTGTCAAAGAGCTGCAGCCAATAGAGGCGCGCTTTCCAATGGTTATCACGCCCCTTGGAATGCTCAGGTTCGCCAAGGATTTGCAGCCATCAAAGGTGCCCTGTCCGATTTCAGTCACACCGCCGGGGATTGCCAAATTTCTTAAAGAACTGCAGCCAGCAAAGGCTGAGGGCCCAAGTCGAGTCACCGAGTCTGCAATATCAACAAGCAACAGGGCATGGCAACCTGCAAAGCCATGGTGCGGAATCTCTCTTTCGGGGTAGGGAACCCCTACGTAACGCAAGTCCTCCACATTGCAACCCGCGAGCTCCTTCATGGAACACAGAATGGGTGGAGGTGGCATTCTGAACACGACCTGCAGGCGGTGGTGCGTGGCATGTTCATGAGAGTTGCTAGTGATTTCAACCCCCTTACACATTGAGTATCATCGAAGGAAGTTTAGAAGTCAAACTTCCGACAATATGGACAGATGAAAAGCACAGCAGGGCAGAGGGAGAGAGAAGAGAAAGATTAGAAGAGAGAAGATCAGAGAAGAGAAAGAGTCAGAAGAAAGAAGATGCAGATGCGCGAAAAGGTCGGAAAGTCACGAAACACTGTGTTTTTCCAATGATTTCAGGGCTCCGGAGGGTCGAAAAGTAGGCTCGCTAAAGCGGCGGGTGCGGAGCCATCTGGCCAGATGAGAGCACATTTCGAAGTCAAAATGTACAAAACACACCATTCTCGGACCACTTTCGGACGAAAAAGTGCACGCCGTTGTGGCGAGAAGCACATTTGCAAGTGAAAAAGCTAAACACACCTCACGTTCGGACCACTTTTGGAAGTTGAGATGTCGAAAAAGTGCACGTCGTTGTGGCGCGAAGCACATTTCGAAGTCAAAATGTTAAAAACACCAGGGGTTCGGACCACTTTTGGACGTTGAGATGTCGTTTCGCGTGGCAGGCGCAAGGGATTGTGCACCTTGTCAAAAGTGAGAAAAACGTGGGGGTTTTGTAGCATTTCCAAAAACGATGGCAGGCGTGGGACATTTGAAGAGGATCTGCAAAGTTGATGCATTTTCCGTGGCAGGTGCAGCAGAAGAGACATCTGCATCAGAGCTGTTATCCGTGCACTGATTTCCTAAGAGAGGTTGCATTTTGGAGCCTCAGATCTTCAGGTTTGCTGAGATGATTTTGCGTGACAGGTGCAGCACGTCGTATGACCTGGCATCACTTTTTCGTGGCAGGCGCAGTAGTTTGGACAGGTGGACTGGAAAAATCGCAAAACGCATTGGTACGAGGCCGTCAGCGCTGCACGCAACTTTCCATTTTTGAAGGAAGTCTCGCAGAATTGCTTTGATTTTGATGTTAACAAGTTTGAAAAATGAAGAAGTCTCGCAGAATTGTTTCGTTTTTGACGTTGTTAAGTCAAAAATTGAGGAATTCTCGCAGAATTGCTTCGTTTTTGATGTTGTCAACTTTGAAAAATGAAGAAGTCTCGCAGAATTGCTTCGTTTTTGACGTTGTCAAGTTCAAACATTGAGGAAGTCTCGCGAAATTGCTCTGTTTTGATGTTGTCAAGTTCAACCTGTGGATAGATAGGTAGATAAATAGATAGCTAAATAGATAGACAGACAGACAGACAGATAGATAGGTGGATAGATGGATAGATAGATAGATAGATAGACAGACAGACAGACAAACAGAGAGATACATAGATAGATAATGATAGATAGGTAGATGCGAAGATAGATAGATACATAGTTAGATTGGCAGATATGATAGATAGATAGCTAGATACATAGATAGAAAGATAGATAGGTAGATAGATAGATAGAATAGATGGATGGATGGATGGATGGATAGATAGATAGGTAGATAGATAGATAGATAGATAGTCAGATAGATAGATAGGTAGCTAGATAGATAGATAGACAGATAGATAGATAAATAGATAGATGGATGAATAGATAGATGGATGGATAGATAGATAGATAGATAGATAGATCGGTAGGTGGGTGGGTAGGTAGACAATCAGAGAAAGAGAGAAAAAGAGAGAGAAAGAGAGGAGACATCAATCACCTTTCGATCCATCAGTGGCTTCGTTCTGCCATCCGTGATTCACAACAACCAATCTCTCCTATAGGTTTCCTATTTTTGAAACTTCCGCCACCGCCTTGTGCGGTACTACTGGTAGTTAAATTACCCTCTGGTAAACTGACATAACTATACATGGAACATCACCGTTTTTAATAGGTAAATCTATAAATGGGCCATTTTTAATAGCTATGTTAAATTACCAGAGGGTAATCCATCAGACTTAATCAACTGAATGGGACCATCATCTTAAGGTGGTCTGAGAAATTGGGCTAGTCAGCCTGTGGCTCGAGGCATTAGCACGACTTGCGAACGTGAAACTTTGGAATGGACATACGCATGCCCAACAAACAAAGGGATTATGTCATGGTTGCTGGATAACTACAATACAAATAGGTACATGTCAAATTTCAGAATGATTCACAAACTATCATGTGAATCGAATTCTTAAGAAAGACATAGCTAGTAGTGGGTGATTCGGCTTGGTTCTCCCTGCCTGCACATTCGCTCTGAAGGTGGGGATAATCTCTGACACTACTGCCTCAAGATCGTTCAACGCTTCCCCCTCAATAAGAATATCCTTGGAGTTGCTTTCTTAAGCCCCCCGAAAAAAAAAAAACGATTCCCTTGGAAAAGAACAAAAATCACTGAAAGTAAAGCCCATTCTCCACAGCGCAGAGTTTTCGAATGTTTTCGTCCGGCGAGCCCTGGAAAGCCCTGGAAATCCTGCGAAGGCCGAAGCTTCTCCCCGGTGCCGAACTACTTCAATGGTCTGAACATGGGGTATGCAGTGCAGTATACACCAAAATTGTTGTTTTACTACGTCCAGGTCCAGGTATTGATGATATACTATCTTCAGACAAACCCAAATAAATTGGTTTGATATAACAGTCCCTGAAAAAACTGCAGGTCGGGGGGGCCCAAGTTATAGCTCTGTTCCCATCGAACCGGAGATATATCCAATATAAATATATAAATAACAGACCCTTCTAAAACCACTTTTTCTTATCTTTCTTTTCCGCCTACATCCGCCTACCAACAACCCCCGAAAACGGCTTGTTAACACTGCCCGCCACACCTTCAGTTCTTCCTTCAATTCTCTGATGGTCATGTCCAATGGGATGGGAATGGCGATCCGACGGCCGTTCAGCAGATCTGCATGGAAGTTCATGGTTGCCATGGCGAACGTCGGCTTTTTCAACGACCTTTTTGCCCTTTTTTGAGCACACCAAATGTCCTCAAAAAAATGCCAGATACAATGGAAGCCGCTCGGCCCATCTATGGATGACTTTTCTATTCAGTGTAATTTTCCATGATTTTCCATAGGTATGTTAAATTACCAGAGGGTAAATGATGGTTCGATTGAAAATTAATCATTCATCATATAAATCATGAATCTTATACATATGTATATATATATATGATTTGTCTAAATATGTAAATGAATGATAAGATATATATATATATGATCTAATTTTCAATATAAATATCTTATATATAAGATATATATATATATGTATCATCTAAATAGTTTCCCAGAGATCATCCCAGTTTGGCCTGTGATTCCCAGTCGACACTTTGCGCACGAAGCAAGCTCTGCATGGATGGACGCATTGAGCCCGGGGTCTCCTGTGGAGAACGAGTTCGGCCCAGTGAGCTGATTTTTCAATGGCGTACCCTCTGGTAATTTAACATAACTATTAAAAATGACCATAGAAATAGTGGATTTATGTGGATTTACCCATTGAAAATGGTGATTTTCCATAGTTATGTTAGTTTACCAGAGGGTACCGTCTGGTAAACTAAGAGTTTGGTATGGTTTTCACCAGAATTTTGATCCATTTTGGAGATGTAAATCATCTATTTTCATGGCTCATGTTCCAGTTTGCTATCCATAGCAGTCCTGTACCGAGGGAGGTTCATCCTGTCGCGTTGCTCGGGTGGACCAACATCACCATTATCCCCATCATCTTCTCCATTAAACCCCATCACAGCCCGGAAAAAAAAAGGTAAATCCTAGCAAATCCCACTTAAACTCCATGATAACCCCACTAAACCCCATGAAACATATAAAACCTCTTTTTTTTTACATAGACCCTGGCAGATAGGGTTGGAAGATTCGTTTCCACCAAAAGTGGATTATTTCCAGGGTCAAATTGGGCTTCCCAGCGGTCGGGTGTCTGGCTACTGCGCCCAGCCGCTTTCTCAGATCAGCCACCTGATGGGGAAACCCCAAAGAAATCAGTCTTGGGTCGTTAAACCATGTGTCTTATCATTAAATTAATTATGTTTATAATGGGTATTGATAATGATAAAATTCATTATGTATCTTTATACTATCATTCTCATAATTTTTGTCATTATATATTTATATTATCTACATTATGAGATATTGCGGATTCCACCAAATCTTCCGAAAAGTATCCAGAAGCGATGTCTGCAGAGGAAACATTAGCGGACGCCAGTTGAAGTATGTATTCGGATTTTTGTGGTTGCATTTTTGTAGATCCTGTGACACACTCTGATCAACCAGTATCTGAATTCAATTCCTCTGCCGCGAGCTAGCCCCCAATAGATTATTATGTGAGGCAAGGCTGTCGCCAGATCAAAATCCCATGATCAAAATATATCAAAATCTCATACCCTCTGGTAAACTAACATAACTATATATATATATATATGCAAAATCACAATCTTTAATCAGTAAATCAACTATAAATTGCCATTTTCAATAGCTATGTTTGTTTACCAGAGGGTATCCTATAATCATTATAATCAACCACGTGCACAACTTCCAGCTCCATCCATGGTCTCTGCCTGTTTCAGCAGCTCCGGTAGGATCTTGCCGCCAGTTCCCAACCAGTCCAACAGCTCATCTTTCCTCGAGGCCGTTGGATGAAGCTGTGTGTGACCTGTGGACCTGAAGCTTGATGACTGCGAAATGTTTGTTTATAGAAAATTGATGTTATATGATGTTAAATGATGTTAAATGATGTTATATGATGTTATATGATGTTATATGATGTTATATGATGTTATATGATGTTATATGAAGTGTTATGACGTTTTGATAAAAACATGATGACGATTTGATGAAGTATTCTGCCCCCCAGCACCCCCCAGCTTTTTAAGACGTAAATTTCACTCACATCGCCTGTCATCTCGCTCCAAACCTTGGGAACGCGGCCCAGCATCCACCCCACCAACATGGCACACCCGGATGGTAATCTAAAATAGCTGGGATGTATGATTTATGGATGTCTATTCCCCT